TCAACTTTCCAGAAACACACTCTCCAGAGTTCCAGGTACCTGGTATCTGGTCTGGTTTTGGGAAATGTTTCGGAGAACATAATGGCTTCATATCAACCTTATCCTTCAACCCTGTCCAAGGCAGTGGCTCCAAAGTCTTTTTGCAGTGCCCAGTGTTTGAGTGTTGATCTGTTTTTGTCCTCCGACCCTTTTGATCGACACATTCAAAACTCCGTAAATGCCCCACAAATGAGCCATGCCCCCTACTTTGGAAGCCCCTGGCTTTTTATTAAAGCCATTTAGAGTCAGTTAGACTTTGTGTTTGTTTTTCTGAAGAATTGCTGACAGATTCTATCTATTCTATCTATGTTCTTTTTAAATGGTCTAATGTTGTCTTGATGTAAATATTATATTCAGAAAAAGTTATTTTACCTTGAAACATTGCAACAGTGAAACACAAACATCTCAAGGTAAACAATCCTTATGTTCAGATGAGTTAAACTGGTGGGTTCTTCTTCAAACTATCCGTTATTATTCATTTTCTCTGTACTGTTAGCTAAGGTAAGAGACGATGCTGCTCTAAATGTGTGTGTTTTATTGTTTGTGTGTCTGCCGGAGTTTGCCAGCCCTTTATTTTGCGGGCCTGTGGGGCGCTGGGTTTTGTGTTAAATCCATCCGAGGGGATGTGCCTTCACGGTGCGTTGCAGAGATTTATGACCGGAAACACAGCGAAGAGGATACCGTGTGAAACGTCTAGGGTGACAATACTGTGAAAAGAAGGAAGCAAAAGGGAGGAGGGGGTGGGGGTGTATGGGAGGGGATGGAGCGTGAGATGGAAGGGTCAGGGGGTGTATGGTTGAGGAAATGAGCAGAGGGAGAAGGGGCTTAGGCATACACATGACACACAAGCTGTCACACAGTAGTCAGGAGGTTCTGACGGTGTTGGCATGTCAGTGTCATCGTTCAGGTGGACTCTTCCACAACAACAAAAGGTGAACAGAAACAAGAACCAAAAAAACCTTTTTAGGGATTTAAAAAAGGGAACTCAACATAAATCCTTCTGTTTGTTGCTGTTTGGTTTAGTTGTATCAGGAGGAGATCATTCAAAGATGTTTTAATTCTTTGATTTGTGTTTGGGTTCGACTGAGCCACACATTACAATGGTACGATTGAAAGTTCAGGCAGGAGTTCAACAGCACCCAAACTGAAACTGAATAGTAATCTCAGGGTTCGCCATGTTCTGACATGTCTTAATATTCAAATATCGCAGTCAAGTGTTGAGCTGTGTTACCTTATTATTTCTATGTATTTATTGGATCATATTGTCAACTCTCAAATTTAAAACCACATCATTGAAGCTGATCAACGGGTTTGTGATCCAGCTTCATTTTCCTTTTCCCTAAATCTAAAAGAATCTCTTGAGGAAGGAACTTGACTTCAGTCCTTAGATGACGCAGGTCTTTACCTGAAGGAAGGATGTTCAACGGAGGATGTGTAGACTTTAACTTTTTTCCCCTCCCTTAGAACATCTTGACTCAACATTGTTGAACTTCTTTTTTGTTACTTTTTTCTTCTTCTAAGACGACAGAGCGGTTGTTCCGTAGAATGTCATCTCCAACTGCAAGTCTGTTTATTGTGTCTTTTGACTCCCTCCAAACGCCAGTGTTGTCAAATGAGAAGTAAAAATTGCTGTAAAACCTTTAACTACAGTGCTGTCACTCCTTATATACAAACTAATTACACTTTTATTGTTGTCACAAAAAAACAGCACCCAAGGTCAGACACTCAGATCCTGCCGTTTAAAATGCAGGATTGATCTGAGAGTCAGGGAGTCTGAAGTCTCACATCAGATCGATCTTTTAGATCAAGAGTAAGTTTGGCACAGATTTTACACTGTATAAACTTCCTGACACAACCCACCGTGCGACTAGCTGGTATCAATCCTGGGAAAGATAAAACCATTTAGCTGTGAATAAGGATAAAAAGAATACATTTATTTTTACACCTTAAAAAATGTCAAAGGTCACTGATACGGTGATCATGATCACTGATGGAAAAGGTCTAATTTTTCAACCCATCGTGCACAGTTCGCTCAAGTTCAGATAATGGAGACTTTGAATCTTTAACCAATCTCGTTTTTTCTTAACAAAAACAGAAAAAAAAGAAATGATGAAAGAGCGTAACAAAATTTGGTAGTATTTGGTATCGGGAGTACACATGACCCATACCAGGTCCATAGTACTCTTCATCTCAAACTTAAGGTCACTTCTTACCCACGTAGACCAAATGAACCAATGCTGCGTGGGCTGTTTGTGGCCCCTCCCCTTCTTACGTACTCACTCTCGTCAATCTTTGATGGTATTTTCGCTTTTTATATTCACATCAAATATTAAAGGGAACATATTGAAAAATGGTGAAACACTGTGGGCTCTGTTCGCCCACTTACACTGATTCATGTGACAGACAGGAACATTCTTTTCAACGAAGAGAAAAAGAACAGAACAGTACAGAACAGAAAGCCCCTGCACTGAGAGACGCTGCGGTTGAAACGGATACCGTCGGTGACAGATTTTTTCACAAGAAGAGAACAAAGCAGCAGGACGACCAGAGAAACTTGTGAAACTCGCTCCCTGCAGCGTAATTTGCTTCCTCCCTGTCCACAAATAGATAGATTGTGGGAAAGTGCATAAAGGCTGGGGTTAACTCGAAATAAAGTTGTTTGTATAAGATGTGATGCCTGGCCACGTCTGAAAGGAAAAGGTGTTATTATAGCTGCTCAGGGTAGGAAGGCAGACTGCCTGCTGTCAGAGAGACATGATAATCACTCAAATGGGCTGTTGGATGAGAACATCTCTTCCCTTTCATTAGAACATCTCCTCCACGCAGTGTCACCTGCAAAGACTTTGGGTCAATTCGGGCTTTGACGTTACTGTGGGTCAGGGAAAGATACAGGAAGTGTCGGACGTTATAATCAGCACACGTGCACGTTTGCATGCGTTGTCACCTGCAGGAGAGGCTTGAGCACTAACTCAACCATGGACAGAACTTTTTTCTAAGCAGCGGTTCCTGTAAATGAACCGGCTCAGGTTTCTGGTTGGAGCCATGAACGCTCAACAATGATCCACTCATTATGTCCGTCACAGTCTCACCCTCTCTGTCCTGCTGCCTGTTTCTTTTATTCTGCCTTTCACCCACCCATCATTAGCCCCATTGTGCCCTGCCTACAGTCGTCCACCGGCCCTTTGTTCTCCCTGCCCGCTCCATCATTCCGTCCATCCTGCCCTTCCGCCCACCTTGCTTTTTCCTTCCTTAGTTTGGCCAGGAATCACCCCGCAAAGGGTTGTGAATGGGACAACAGTGTGTGTGTGACTCTTACAGGAGTCAGTGTGTGGACTTCAGAGCAGGAGGAGGAAGAGGCAGTGGGTTAAGGATGAGCGCCAGGTGCCTTTGCGCTCCTATCCTCCCCTCCTGCCCTCCATCCCTTCCCTCCTTCACTGGGCCCTGACAGTGCCAGGCCCATAAGGGCTGACTTATTGAGCGTGACTCAGAAGGATCTGTGGAAACGTACACACCGACCACAATGGCTTTATAATAACTGGCCAACCTTAGGGGACCCAGACAGCTATTTTCACTCTGTCTCTCTCGCTCCCTCATTCTGTTCCCTCCCTAAATCTCTATTCCAACTCCTTCCTCCTGACTGAGGGATATGGACTTGTTTTAGTTGCCACAACTAGGGCAATAGTGGTGCCAATGTGTTACCTGCATGTGTGCAGTTTTAATTCTGTTGTTTAATGCCGTCTCCACTCGTTGGGAAAATATGTATAAATCTTTAGAAACAAACCTAAAGTTT